AAAAGGTAGGGTTTTTGTTTTTTGTTTTTGTTCTGTGACTGGGTTGTTTTGTTTTTTTAAGGAAGCTAACTTTAGTATTGGTTGGAGATGACTTTCAGAGAAGGAGGATCTGTGTGAAAATATTGTTTTGCTGCTGCCAAAATTATTTTTCTAAAGTACCACTCCAATCTCATGACTTGAGTTATCATTGATGGTTATTTACTAATGCATGTTGTCCAGTCCTACAAATGTGTGTTTTTCTTCTTAATCCTTGTATCACCTCAAACATATCCTTCACTATTCACAATTTTTTCAACCAGAAAATGTGGCATTTGTACTACTCTAATTATCTGTAACCTCTAAAACATTGTGCAGACTATGCATGGAATTTATTTTTTAATATGGATTACTGAATCTCTTCACCTGTTGTTAGACCTGATCATAAAAACAAACACACAAAAAAACACATCGATTTATTTTTTTTGCCAAAACTAAGATGAATTTATGTAATTATATATAAAATAGTTTGCTGAACTAGCAGGGAACTCTTACTAGTCAGATTTATTCAGAACTAAATGTTAATATATGAAGCACTTAGCATAGATATTTGATTACTCAAATGAAAGAATGTATGAATAAATACATGAAAAAGTAGGGAAAATTATTTACAGTTTTCCTTTAGCAAATAAATTGTGTCTAATGGTTTTATGTATACATATGTAATGCCTCTAAAAAGAATTTATACAGTTGCTTTATTCTGAGGCACATATTGTATATAATAAAAGGGCATCCAAAATGATATCATGTAGTATATTTTGCATATGTCTTCCATTTAAATTTTACACTTGGTCTTAGCCAAAAGACCAAGAAGCAATCCATTTAAATTTTAAATGGTTATTTTTGTAAGTCTAGATTCTGGTACCAGTCTAGCTAATTAGCTGTGAAACCTTTCATATGTCTTTTCACCTCTTTCTTTTTTTTTTCTTTTCTCTTTCACTTCTACTGTAGGAGGTGATCTTTTCATTTTTTTCTTATAAAATGAAAGATGATTTTCAGATATTTACCACCTATAAAATTTGAAGATTGTATGCAATAGCAGATGTTCATAGTTAGAGATCTTCAAGTGATAATTATTTTAGTTGAATATATGCTCACTTTGGTTTTACCTTGGTTTACAGTTTTGTCCTCTTTTCTCTTAAGATCTCAGTGGTTCAATAGCATCACCAGATGTCAAATTAAACCTTGGTGGAGATTTTATCAAAGAATCTACAGCTACTACATTTCTGAGACAAAGAGGGTATGGCTGGCTTTTGGAAGTTGAAGATGATGATCCTGAAGATAACAAGCCACTCTTGTATGTAAAAATAATAGTATGTATATTTTGGTTTTTAGAGTTAGTCTGTGGGATGATTATATTCTTTCATGTTATTTAAAGACAGATGTGGAAAATCTTAATCTTTTTGGTCAAAAGCTATAGCAATTTTCAGTTTTACTAATTTAAAAAACTGAGGCTGGCTGGTTATTGCAGTTGGTTAGAGCACAACCTTATAACACCAAGGTCATGGGTTCAGATTTCCATACTGGCCAGCCAAAGAAAAAAAATATCTGAAATAATAAAAGAATATTTTTTAACCCATTGAACGGCAAAAATTTTAAAAATGGTGATCCTATATCACACACACACACTCTAAACTGTTAGAGCTTACCTGAGTCTGTCAGCTATCTTAGGTAATCAAGCAATCTAAAAAAAAGCAAGACTCTTGGTGCTTGCTGTGGAAATTCAGGTTTAAGACCAATTATGATTTCCAGAAAGATTACCACCACAAAATCTCTCCAATATAGAAATTCTAGAGGTGCCATTGAGAGTAGGTTTATAGGGAGACTTTCACTTTTTTCATAGTACTTGAAATTTTGTGATTATCATCTGGGAAAAAAAGTAAAGAAATAAACAATTTTGGAAAGAAGAACCTATAGCTTTGGAAAACCAACTCATTACCAGGTTGTTCTTTGTAGTAGTATCGGCAAATTAAGTGCTAAAACGTCCTATGTTTCTTAATGTTAATATATCACATTTTATCAAATCTAAGATTCTTTGGATTATAAAATGAAGTTATTTTACATATTGATAAAAAAGCAAAGTGCCTAAGACTGCATAAAGCTGAGAAATCAAAAGGCTATCTCCTTAGCATAAGAGTGCATGAGAACCCACCTCACAGAGACAGCAAGGACGTTTGCTTCAGTTTGGCACTGGGTGGGGGGTATTGGAAGAAAAAACATCCCCTGAGAATGTAAACCCTACACTGGTCCTCATATAGGTTTGCAGTCCGAATTATCAGTATGGTCCCAAGAAGTCTCAAGCAGAAAATTTTTTTTTTTTTTTTTTAAAGATGACCGGTAAGGGGATCTCAACCCTTGGCTTGGTGTTCTCAGCACCACGCTCAGCCAGTGAGCAAACCGGCCATTCCTATATAGGATCCGAACCTGTGGCCTTGTTGTTATCAGCACCGCACTCTACCGAGTGAGCCACGGGCCAGCCTTCAAGCAGAAAATTTTATTTAAAGTTGTATTTAATTGATAGTGCCTGTAGGAGACTGATAAAAAGAAAGGCAGATATTAGAATCCTTTCTTAGAAGTCTTGAATTCACTCCAGGCTAACAACAATTGTAAGACACGAGCAATTGTGTGATGTGTCTCAATTTTAGAGATGTTGAAATATTGAAAATGAGGCTGGCCCGTGGCTCACTCGGTAGAGTGCGGTGCTGATAACACCAAGGCCACGGGTTCGGATCCTATATAGGGATGGCCGGTTTGCTCACGGGCTGAGCGTGGAGCTGACAATACCAAGCCAACAGTTGAGATCCCCTTACTGGTCATCTTTTTTTTTTTTTTTTTTTCCTTTTTATCTTTTTTTACTGACTGGTAATGGGATCGCAACCCTCGGTGTTGCGCCCGCACCGCGCTCAGCCAGTGAGCGGGAACCGGTCTCCACATGGGATCCGAACCCTCGGCGGGAGCGCCGCCACACTCCCAAGCGGCGCACTCTCCAGTGCACCACCGGGCCGGCCCTACTGGTCATCTTTTTAAAAAAAAAAAAAGAAATATTGAAAATGTACACCTTAGAATCAGTGAAATATGGTACGTCAAATGCAAATGTTTGTTGACTTATGGAGACTATACTGTTGTATTTAAACTTTTCTTAAATTCTTTTGAAACTGTCTTAGTATTCAGAAGTGTGTGCCTTTTGAAAACTCTTACTTTAAAATTATAGGGAAGAACTGGATATCGATTTAAAGGATATTTACTACAAGATCCGATGTGTTTTGATGCCAATGCCATCACTTGGTTTTAATAGACAAGTGGTGAGAGACAATCCTGACTTTTGGGGTCCTCTGGCTGTTGTTCTTTTCTTTTCCATGATATCATTATATGGACAGTTTAGGGTAAGTATATCTTATTTTTTACAAATTCTAAATATTTTTAAAGTTTCAAAAATTAAATATAGTCATGTTCCTACCTTTTTTCATTTTTATTGTTTTTTAAAAATGAATATTATTTTTAATAAATGATGACAAGGATTTCATCCATATTTGTTTTTATACTGTTAGCAATATTTTAATCACTTTTATTTTAACTTCTCTCAAGGACTTTATCATCAAAACACAACATACACACATCACTCTCTCATCTGCAGTTTAAGGCTTTAGGGGAGTAAAAAGTAAATCCTTAACAGAGTGATTTGGAAATAAATTGGTTTCCTGTTGCTGCTGTAACAAACTGCCATACACTTAGTGGCTTTAAACAACACAAATTTATTCTTTTACAGTTCTGAAGGTCAGAAGTTCAAAATGAATCTTAAAAGGCTAAGATCAAAATTTCACCAGGGCTAGTTCCTGTGGAGGCTCCAGGGCAGAAACTGTTGCTTGACTCTTTCACTTCTAGAGGCTGCTAGCATTTGCTGGCTTCTGGATGCATCACTGTAATCTCTGTATCCATGGTCACATCACCTTCTCCTTTACTGTACTCAAGTATCCCTCTTTTAAGGACAGTTGTTATTACGTTTAGGACCCACCCAGATAATCCAGAATAATCTCCCCATCACAAGATTCTTAACATACTTGTATTGTTCCACTAGTCCTATTAATATTTACCCTAGGTCAGTAGTTCCTATCAAGTATTCTATTGAAGTGTTGTTACGGACCGTTGAAGAAGTTGAAAGGGGGTTCTGGTCTCCTACCTACCACTTGTCCTTCTTCTAGAATATCTCTAGTTTTATCTGTTTTGTATAATCTTTGAACAAGGGGTTCTAAGGCTAAAAACAGAAGGTTACTTATACATTCATAAAATGTTGCTCAATTTAAGTTTGCTTATTGTTTTCTCATGATTGGATTGGGGCATACATTTTTGGCAAGAATCACAGAAGTGACCATTGTGCCTTTCTCTGCGTAGTAACAAGGAGTATGTTGCACTGATGTGTGTTCTTACTGGTGATGTTAACCATGATCATTTGGTTAGGTGTTGGGGTGGCATCTATCAAGTTCCTCCACTGTAAAGTTGTTCTTTTTCTCTTTGTAATTAATGAATCTCTGTGGAGATACTCTGCATCTATGCAAATATACTGTTTCTCACCTAATTTTAGCATCTGTTGATGGATCTTGCACGTAGCAATTATATAGTGTTTACTATGTGATGGTTTTTCCTGTTTCCCTCATTCTTTCTACATTTATTAATTCTTTTTGAAGAAATAGCTATTCCGGGGCCGGCCCGGTGGCGCACTGGATTAGTGCGCCGCTTGGGAAGCGCGGCGGCGCTCCCGCCCGAGGGTTTGGATCCCACATACAGACCGGTTCCCGCTCACTGGCTGAGCGAGGCGCGGGGGCAACACCGAGGGTTGCGATCCCGTTGCCGGTCCCCGGTCTGGTACGGGGGCAACACTGAGGGTTGCGATCCGTTGCCGGTCCCGGTCTGGTACGGGCGTGACACTGAGGGTTGTGATCCGTTGCCGGTCATGAAAAAAGACAAAAAGCAAAAAAAAAAAAAAAAAAAAATCATTTTTCAGACTATTGTTAGAAAGTCAATCATAATTCTTAGCATTTAGAATAGCTACAACAATTCATCAGTCCATCAGGCAAAAATGTCTTAGTTGTAGAGAAGATAGAAATAGAAATCTTTTAAATGTTGCTATGATATTAAAGATCTTCAAATTAATCATGGTATAACTAAATACATGCACATTTCTCAAAAACACAGTGGTGTATTTCTTCTCCTGTGTTATGAAAGTCATACCTAGAAGAAAGATCATGTGATAAGCAAACTATTTTTAGTCATATATTCATCTATTTCTTTATTTAAGCAGACATGTGAGTATCTTTGAAGTGCCAAACACTGTGCCGAGGATATTGGTGGAGGAGGAACAGGGTCTACACCTGTACCCTTGAGAAGCTTCTTGTCTGGCAGGAGAGACTGTGTTATAGAATAGTCATGAAGTATAAGATGGTAAGTATTATAAGGAGGATTAGGAATCCTGTGTTATCCTCTAACAGAGGAAAGACTGACTAATTCTACATAGTTGTTTTAGAGAAAACTTTATGGAAGTTCTTTGAAGCATGAAGGGTGCCTCATCAGCTACCCAGAGAAGCAGCGCACAGCTGTGCAGAAGTGAGGGGCGTGCAAGGAGGTGAGCAGAAGCGTTGCCAGAAAGGCCGTGAATGCTGCGCTCCTAGGATGATGTTTAAAGTCGATGACTCCTGCAACATCAGGGAGATGATGAAAACCTTACCAAGGTGATCACGAAGAGAATGGACAAAGAGGAGGCATTCAGGAGCTATGTGGAGAAAGACTGAATGAGAATTGATGTTGCATGTGAGAAATAAAGTAGAGAGAGGAAAGATATTGACTCTCTAATTATATCATGTATTTGCCATTTAGAAAACATTAGTTCACCAAGTTTTGCAGATCTTGCTAATGTTGACATATTATGTACAGTATCAGAAAATCATAATCATTACTATAACCACCCATCTCATCAGAAAAGTCTGCATTGGAAAACTATCAAGCTTATAGTGGTGGATACAAGTTTTTCAAAGTTCTGATTTTTGCTTGAAAGCTAGAATTTTATCATTTGCAACAAATACTGTCTGTTTTCATTGAAGCAGCAGGTTCACAATATCATGTATTTGCCATTTAGAAAACATTAGTTCACCAAGTTTTGCAGATCTTGCTAATGTTGACATATTATATACAGTATCAGAAAATCATAATCATTACTATAACCACCCATCTCATCAGAAAAGTCTGCATTGGAAAACTATCAAGCTTATAGTGGTAGATACAAGTTTTTCAAAGTTCTGATTTTTGCTTGAAAGCTAGAATTTTATCATTTGCAACAAATACTGTCTGTTTTCATTGAAGCAGCAGGTTCACTTCATTCATTTTCAAGAACATTCCTGCCATTGCCAAGTCTAATAACCATAGTTTAGCTATCAGTTGTACTTTCAAGTAAAAATGATGTTCCATGGAAAAAGCATCTAATTCAACTCTTCACTCAAACCATCACACAAGTGTTCTTCCTCGGGATAACCACTGAATCAGTATACAGCAGAAATGCTTTCTGTGTACTTCCCATTTTTGTTGTTCAGAATATTAAAAAGACATATATTCAAAGGTTGGTATTTAATAAGATTAATAATTTTTACTGGTTCATTTAGGACATTCTTAACTGAAGCTGGCTTTTTTTCCTTTTCTGTGAGTGCGGTTGTAAAGAACACAGTAACTACCAGTACAGTTTGCACCACCTTGATTTGTGCTAAGGCGGCAGCAGTTTTACCCACCATTGCCTATGCCCTGTTAGTACCAATATCAACCCAATGGAAAAGGCAAATAATGTTTTATTGCTGTTCTAAGAAATAGTTTTGACCTTATGGTCTTCTGGAAGAGCCTGTGGGATTCCCAGGGCTGCACTTTGAGAATCACTGCTCTATTAAATACAACTTTATGAATTGCTATAAACCTAGGAATTCCACCAGTTCATTCTGTGGAGAGAGCAAAACAGAGGGGATGCTAGACAGAGTTATGATATTGGTACTGGATCATATCAAACTGACTTTATGAATATTGAATGATAAATGCAGAAACTTTCAGCCTTTTTCTCATACTTGGTGGAAATTACCTGCCACTTTTGTTACTTAGCTCTAGTTCATCTGCTTTCCAGCTTCCAAAATTATGTTGCTGTTGTCTTATCTCCTATTCTTCTCCTGTTTATGCCTCTCATAAAAAGGAGTTTCTTTTTTCCCTTCCTTTTAGTAGAGTTTCAGGAGGGAATATTAGATATATATGCTCAATCTAACATCTTAACCTAAAAAACTTTAATCAATTTAGAGTAACATCTATGAAACTTTTCACTCTGAATATGGAAATTTAAAATAATTCTAATAGACTCAAAATTATATTTGTTTATATATTATTTCTTGTATCCTAGACAAAACCTAGTATAATATTTATATGAAAATATGTATCACTAAATATTTTTTGTAATTTAGGACTGTTGGTATAGGAGTTGAGACCTGGATCTTTTTTTTGTCCTTTTTATTTTTTGAGACCGGCCGCACCGTGCTCAGCCAGTGAGCGCTGTAAGCGCACTGGTCATCCCTATATAGGATCCGAACCCGCAGCGGGAGCACTGCTGCGCTCCCAGCACCGCACTCTCCCAAGTGCACCACGGGCTTGGCCCAAGACCTAGATCTTAATTTGAACTCTGTCCCCTACCAGGAAAGCAAAGCACTTTGTATCTCTAATCATTAGTTTCTTCATAATAGGGACAATAATGCCTACTTCATAGGGTTGCTACTGCATTTGATCTTCATAGCACATGAAGTCCCATCGTAGAGCTTGGAACATAGTAATCACTAAAAAATATTTATCTCTTCAGTCTCTCCTGGCCACCCTCCCTTCCCTTCTGATCTGCATTTGTCACATCTAGCTTCCCTAGACCTTGGATTTTTCATCTGAATAGGATGGTTGTGGTCCCTTTAAGTAATTCTACAATTTGAGGGAAGTAGTGACAGAGTATAATGTAGAGATACTGAAGGTAATTAGATACATAAGTCTGAAGCTCATGAGAGAGATAAGGGCTGGAAATGCAGACTTGGGTATCACCAGCAAATTGATGATAATTAAGACAATAATGGTTGGTGAGACTGCCTAGGAACATGGGAGATTATACGAAGTGTAATGGGTATGATATTTTATGATTTTTTTCTTAATTTACACATGTATGTAAGTACAACAAAGGATATATGATATTAGTAGTGATTAAAATGAGTATCTTGGTTTCTATGATATTTATTTAAAATTTTGAAAATTCACAGGTTGCATATGGCCAAGTTCTTGGAGTTATAGGATATTCATTACTTCCTCTCATTGTAATAGCCCCTGTACTTTTGGTGGTTGGATCATTCGAAGTGGTATCTACGCTTATAAAAGTAAGTTAAGTAGTGTGTATTATATAAAGTAGTTTACTGTTTTCCAATAGGAAAAGTATACTAGTCCTCTAGCTGAGAATATTGTATAATATTCCCTCCATATCTGTGGGGAATTGGTTCCAGTACGTCCCTGGGATACCAAAATCCATGTATGCTCAAGTCCGTGATATAAAATGGCATATAACCTATGCACATCCTCCCATGTACTTTAAATCAAATCTAAATGACTTATAATACCTAATAGAAGGTAATGCTATGTAAATAATTGTTTATTGTGTAGGGAATGACAAGAAAAAAATGTCTGTACGTGTTCAGTACAGATTCATTTTTTTTTCTGATTATTTTTGATCCATGTTGGTTGAATCCACAGATGCAGAATCCACAGATATGGAGGGCCGACTGTAATTTAAAACTTTACTAAACAGTTGGTAGTATTTTGGAGCAGTGACCTTTATTACTGATTTTAACAAGTGTATTTTTAAAGTTTTTTCCCTCTTAACCACCAGGAATTATAAAGTATGTCTGCTGGGAAAAAACAAAGAGCAAATCAGATTCTTTTGTTTTGTTTGTGAAGAATTTTTTTGCTGTTGAATTTTCCCTATCTACGTTTATAATATGGGTTCATCTGACTTAGGTTTTGATGGTGGTAGTTATTTAAAATTCCACTGAACATTTATTTAATAATTGTTACTACTATTTGAATAGTAATGTCCTTATCAAATATGATAGACATGTTTCTAATAAACTGGATTTTCTGTTATGCAGAGATCAGGACTTCTTTATACCATATTAAATTAAATGAACATATGTACACACTGTAAACATTTATTGATAGTGTTAAGTACTAATAAATAGTAATATAACTTAAATTTTGGTGTTTATTAATATCGAACAACTTTGAGAAATAAATGACTGCTTTAGCATATGTATCTATGTCATGTGAATGTAATTTTTTCCTTATGAAAAATAGAACTGTTTCAGGCCATATTTTCAGTACTGCTGTCACATAGCCTCATCACTAAAGTAGTTGTTTTTAAATAGCCAGAGCCACTTGATTTTTATGAGGTTTGATTTTATTTAAAGTTTATTACTAATTCCAATATAAAAGAAATAATGATTTATTTCAGGATTTGGTAACTATAAGCTAATACTGATATACAAGCATTGGGTACTGAAAAGAGTATGGATTTTGGAACCACTTAGTTCTGAATTCACATCCTGGTTCTGCCACTTACTTGCTGCCTGGCTTTCTGGAGATACATTCACTTTTCTTTTACCCTCAGTTTGTTCTTAACAGTGGGAGTCTTACCTACTTTTTTAATGAAGATTTTATAGTTTATATAATGCCTAATGCAGTGCTTGACACAGATTAACAGTAGTAGCTACTGTTACTACAAATATTTTAAAATAATATGTTGAGATCGTATTTGTATGTTCGAACTATTTAAACACTTTTGAGACCAAAGAAAACACCTTGTTTTCCTCTGCATTCTAACCCTAAAATCTTTTTTTTTTCAAGTTGGCATTATTAGAACTTAGTTTAAAAGTCTTAGAGTGCAGCAGCTAGCCTCTTGCTGGCATTTAAGTATTCTATCCTTAGTGAACATACCACTCATTTAGGATCACTTCCTTCTGTGTGTTGCTTTACTTGGGCTAAGCTTGTTTTAATATTTCTGAGACTACTTCCAAAATTGCTAAAACTGTTGTCCTCTAGTCATTTTTAGTCATATAGTTCATCTGAAAGTTGGATGTTAATATTCTTTTTGCAGAATATGAATGTATATTATAAAATGAAAATCTTCTTTGGGGGGGGGGGGGCTGGTCAGTGTGGGAATCCAAGCCCTTGACCTTGGTGTTACAACACCATGCTCTAACTGTCTGAGCTAACCAGCAAGGCAGAAAACCTTTTCTAGGGCCGGCCTGGCGGTGCACTGGAGAGTGCGCCACTCCCGCTGAGGGTTCGGATCCCATGTGGAGACCGGTTCCCGCTCACTGGCTGAGCGCGGTGCGGGTGCAACACCGAGGGTTGTGATCCCGTTGCCGGTCCCCGGTACGGGCGCGACATCGAGGGTTGCGATCCCGTTACCGGTCAGTAAAAAAGACAAAAAGGAAAAAAAAAAGAAAACCTTTTCTATATCATTAAAAATTTAGGATAAAATTGCTTTTAAACTTCAGATTTTTCTTTGCCAAAATTTTTTTCCTAATCAGTTTTCTGTGGGTAGTGAGCTATTGTACGTTTCTTATTTCAGTCCAAGGTTTGTTGAGAAACATGTTGCAAAACTCTCATCAGTTAAACCTAGCTTTATAGTTTAATGTATACGCACTAATTTTATTTAACATCAAATCTCTATAACGCTCTATAAACACAATCTTTAACTGTTTATAATGAAAAAAATCTAATCATGACATACCAGTGCAATTTGATTATGATTTTATGTCATATACAAATGGTCCTTTACTTATGATGATTTAACTTAATGATTTTTCGACTTAATGATCCTGCAAAACATTCAGGAGAAAGCATAGTTTCAGTACCTATACCATCATTCTGTTTTTCACTTTCAGTACAGTAGGCAGTAAATTACCTGAGATAATAAACACTTTATTATAAAATAGGTTCGTGTTAGATGATTTTGCCCAACTGTATGCTAATTTAAGTGTTTCTGAGCACGTTTAAGGTAGGCTAGGCTAAGTTATGATGTTTAGTAGGTGTATTAAATGCATTTTCAACTTACAGTGGGTTTAAAAAGCACAATAGAGAGTTTTTCTATGAACCATGCCACATATATTTTCAATTAGTCTGCCAGTATTTCTTTTTTTACCCTCTGTTTCAATGGTTCTCAACAGGAATCAGTTTTGCCCCCCCCCCCCCCCCCCCCCCCCCCTC